TTTAAACCTTAAAGGGAAAATCATTATATGCTTTTACATTTTATATTTTTCTGCGTTTCAAAATACTTTACAATAAATATGCATTATCTTACAAGTAGAAAAATAAATGTTATACTAAAATAGAATAAAATACTATCGTTTTTGAGGATTATGTAAGATCATGTAAGTATTAGTCATGGGAATCAACACTGATAAAACAGTTCTCTCCCCACTCACCGCGGACACCTTTCTCTCTCTCCTTCCTGACTCTCAGGTTACCTTTTTGTGAAATGAAAAATAGATTGTACAGAAAAGTAAAGCACTGAGTAGAGCACACATTCCATATATCTTAATTCTTTCCCCTTCACTGAACTACCAGAGGGCAGCGGCTCTCATTCCACCTTTCAGACTCTTGCCATCCAAGAGTGATAGCCCTGGGTGTCACGGTGTATCCAGACACTGCATCAGTGCAGATCTAGGACAGGGGACATCTCTGTCCCACGGTGGTGGGTAGCGGGGAGGATGCTTAGTAGGGTGATAATGGATTTCTAGAATAGGGAAGGGACTAAGAAGAATCCTACTAGGGAAGCCTGAGGGGAATTTCATAGGTGGCCCAATGTTTTGTTTCTCTCCAACGATTTAGACAAGGAATAGAACAGAATCTTCTGGAGTCGACACCACTGGCGCAGGCCTACAGCTACCCGTGGTTGCGAGCATTTATGCTCATCTCTTGCACATTCCTGAATCCGATTCCTCATATATAACCCCATCCTTTCTTTGCTGTCCTCTTTGGCAAGGCTGACTCTTGCTGGAGCTTTCCCCCTATCCTACAGAAATTTTGACCTGTAGGAGGCCTGAAACTAGATTAAGGGTTAATGTGTCCTCTGCCAAGTGACATCCCACTTTGTAAACAGCAGACAGCAATGCCAGGACTTACGCCGAGCTCCAAAGGAATACTACTAGCTCAGGTGTGCATGCATCTGAGTATTACTTGATTTTGTTAATATTAATGAGCATATGATTTGGTCTAGTTGCCCTTTAAATTCAAATTAGGCACTGATTAAATAATAAGGCAGCAGAATCAGGATGTGTTTAAACAGCACTTCCCCACTCCCCGCCCCCCCCAGTAAGGTGCCTTCGTCTTGGGTATGAGTGAGGATGAGCTATTAAGAGTGTTGAGATAACAGAACAGAAAGTTTTCCTTGAATTAAGCAGACTGACTATATCTTAAATAATGATGATGATAATAAAAAATAATAATCACTCTGCAGCAGTTTCAACCAGAATACTTGATATTCCTAATACAAATTTTACTCCTGGGTTTATAGCCTCTCCATCTGATTGCCTCTATATCTGTTAACTTAAATAGCCCTCACATTTGTACTCCTGGGTTTGTTTTTAAGGATTTAAAGTGTAAACTACCATTAAATCAATAATTGGAATATTTTTACCAGTAGAGAAAGAAATCTCTCAATAGATAAGTGTATGCCCTATTTTATTAAAGGACCTCAGAGCTCCTAACAACCAACAGATATTTTCTCAGGTTTTCTTTACCTTGGAGCTCATCTCTATTCAGTCCTGGCTGCTGCATCCCTGGCATGCACCCCTTGCGTGGATGAATTATTCATCTGCATTCCTCCTCCTCACATGTCCTCCACCCAACTCAACTCCTGCCCACCCGAAGGCTGTGATGAGTCATTGGGAACAGGTGTCCTCCGTCTGGAGCCCACAATCTAGCTCTTGATCCATAAGCCAATCAGCTGTACCTCCTTCTGTTAGCAGCTTGCACTGTTAGCTGTTATGTGGTGTAAATGGGCAATAAACATCCATTCTTGGTACCCAGTGGGAAATATGTCTAGAACATTTGAACAAAATCGCTGGCCTAGAAGACACCCCAAAAGACACTTCCTCTTGAAATTCTGCAACTTTCACATAACTGTTTTAATTAAAAAAAAATCTTATCTCCCAAACCAAGTGACATTAGCTAGCTCATTTTTTCTTTTGTTTTTAGTCCTTGTACTCTAGAAGACACCAGTTTCCTGTGGGAGCCAAAATTATAACAAATATAAAGCCAGCCAACCAACAAGCAAAGCTGAAAATAACTAATGAGGCTCAAAATCTTTGGGAATTATATTGGAAAGAATACCAAAAACACGCCAGTCCATAACATTTGTGATTCCAAGACTTAAGAAGAAGATGCTGGGTCAGGAGCAAAGCCTGGAAACAAAGACAAGAGAGCAAGGGCCCCTTGAAGAACTTTGGTCAGCAAAAATATCCTGCACTTAAACTGGAGAGTGTAATAAGCATTTTTATAAGCAGCCTTATAGCTGCAGGGCTCATAAATAGCCCAGATGTCACCAAGGAGATATATTTCTGCATGAAACTTATAATGGTGAATGTTTGAAATGAATTCTCAACATATATGAATGCCTTCTGACCTCATCACGACCTCAATCTCAGAGGCTCTCAACGGCAAATTCATTTATTTTTCATTCTAAGCTATGTATCTATCAATCAAGCTGTGTATCTATCTCCACACTTGCAGTTCTGTAAGCAAAAGATGCTTGGCCTAAGCGTTGTAGTGATAATCCGTTAAAACAGTGGTCTTCTGTACGTGCTATTTCAGAAGGAAAAGGCAAAAATCATAACCTGTATATTCTATTTTTAATGGAAACTGGATCACTGTTAATGTGGATTTCAAAATTCTTTTCCTCAGATCCAGAGGTTCATGGATATTAATAATTTATTTGGGTAAAAACTTTACACTTAGTCTTATTAGGAAACTGCATTTGTGATATGTGACAGAACTCGTTGGAGTTACCACCATTAAAAGTTTCACGTAAAAAAACAAAACAAAGCATCTAAAAGTGTTCCGAGAAATTGATCCTGGCAGGAGCAATTAATGTTGTGAGATCCTGAAAGCATGAAGAAACACCACAAACAGTGTATTTCTATAAGGGTGTGATATCTCCAAACCAAACAGCTCTACAGGAAAAGTCTCAGCTGGAAGCACTTAAATTCGATTATTTCTTCTGTTCCCTAAACTCTGCCATTCCACTTCAGGATACTGAAAAATTTGTATCACAGCCTAAATGATCGTGATGCCCGAATTTATTTGCTTAGGATAAACACCACTCTTTGCCTTTTCACTCAGCTTTATTTCTCTCTCTAAGATGACCTAGAGTTAATTATGAGAACCTAGGTGATCTAACATGGTTTACATTTTTAGATATTCCAAAGAATTTTAAAACCAGGGATGTCAGAACACATATCTGAGTAGTATGAAGGGAGGTGCCAAGGGATTCAGTAAAAAAGTGACAATGAACTAGAAAAAGACCACCAAAAGCAACAGTATGGTGGATGCTGTGTTGGGCCACCCGCAACCTCCTTCAGGAAGGAGGAGCTCACTCTCCCAGTTGCAGGCAGCCCTCATCCCTCTCAAGCTTCCAGGATCACCCCAGCAGAAGAGAGTTGCTTCATCCAAGGCCACACCCCTTCCCAAGGCAGCCAATGACAGGTGACTTATCAAATGGGAGGTTTTAATAGCCAGACTCTCTCATCCCAACTGGACATCTCAGAATGGTCATGTCATCTTCAGACCAGCTGTGGCTTCTGTTGAGAATGCCTTGTAGTTCAGTTTCTCCCTTTACCCAGTTCTGCATTCTTCCCTTTCCTTTCACAGGTGTTGATTCCAAGAGCTCCCCCTAATAAATGTCAGCTCCCTAATCCCCATCACAGTCTGTTTCCTGGGGAGCCCAGTCTGCATAGGTACCAGGTAAACAGTTTGAGCAATGGACGTGTATTACTGTATTCTGTGAGGTAAATACAGTTACTATCCCCATTCTACAGAGGAGAAAAGTGAAGCACAAAGAAGTTAGTTACTTGTCGTTACTTGTTAATTCCTTGTTAAGTACTTGAATTCCTTGTCAAAGATTACATACATTTCCAGTGGTAGAGACAGGATTTAAGCCTCAACCACCTGGTCCCAGAGTTCACAATCTTAGCAACTACCCTCCCTACGCAGGACACCTCACTTAGAAAAACTGTTTACAGGCAACATGAAATGAAATGAATGATGCAAACAGTTGACTATTATTTTTAAAACCACTTTGATTTTCTAAACATTGATTCCAGGAGTAGCTAACATCAATCTTTAGTATGGATATATTTTCATATCACTCCAAACTGAAGAAATGCATTCAGCGTGTTTATCTAAAAGTTCCAAGTATATCACATGGTTTACCAGATGTCCATTTGTACAGATGTAACAATCTCATCTATCATTCCAGAAGGGTTTTTAGTAGTTATCGATGACAGATATAAAATAATATTACTTTTGTGTGTGTGTGTGTGTGTGTGTGTGTGTGTGTGTGTGTGTGTGTGTGGACAGTTAATCAGGAGGGAAAGAAAATAAATGATGATTTCATTTTCCTTTAGATAATATATATCTTTAAAACTCTATTATCTGCACACGAATGTCCCCACTATTTCTCCCTCACATTTTCTCCTAGAACCTACATAAATTTTTCTTTTACTTTTTTATTCTTCTAAAGATACTTGGGTCAGCAACATTTTCTCATAGTAACTGTCCATAGAATGAGGAATGATGTTCTTGCCAAAGATTTATTTTCAAGGATGCCTTTCAAACATTTCTTCTTTCTTATTCTGTCTAGATAATGGAGCTCTCCGGTAGACGGTTCTCAAATGAAGCCATTCCTGACAAGTAGCTGTAAACAGCCTAATTCTGGAGTTTCAAATGAACATCTTTAAACGTAATTTCTCCAATCATTCTATTGTTTCATGAACAGTTACTTTACAGCGGAACAAATGTAAATGGAGATATAAATTCTGAAGATGGCAGGTATGGAATAAAACAGAGGGGGTTGGATATTTGTGCTGGAGATAGAGATGCTTAAAGAGAATTGGATAGATTTGCACACAGCTTCATTTTCCCACAAAAATAAAACCCAAACGGTTTTCTAAGAGTTTGTGATTTTCAGATGCAGTAAGTGGCCTCATACCTTCATGTTTACAGACTTCAGCTGCCTCTTCTGAAGAAGGGTTGGGCACGGTGGCAGCGCTGGCACCGTCTATAAGGCGGAAAGAGAAACACTGTCTCAGAGCCAAATACTGTCAGGTTGGAGCTTCCCTTCCCACCTCACCTCCTACTCTACCGAAGGAAGCAGGAGCCTGTTTCATGCTCTAATACACTGAATGGTCTTTGAAGGGGCTTGGGTTCGTAACTCTCTTCTACGATTAGTGGAACAAAAACCCTTCAGTTCAGACAGAGCCTGATGAACTACAAACTATTTTTTTGGTGAAAGAGACTGTTTGGTAGTATTATACTTTGGCATTTTGTTTCTTCCCTACCTCTAGAAGAATGGTACATTATTTTTCTTAGTAAAAGACTGTGAAAGAAAGTATATCCTTGCAAGTTTCTACAAGGTGCTTTTATGTGTGTGTTTTTAAAGTTTGGTTTTTCTTAGCACAGCACTTCTATTCCATTACGCCAGGCTGTCAAGCTGCAGGGAGCACATCTGATGGCTGTCACAGAAGAGGTCCAGGAGAAGGGGTCATTTGTAGGAAAGCACCAAAAGCCGTTTGGTGATTTCATGTCAGCCAAGCACAGAGTGGGGACTAAGAAACTTGGAGGTCTGTGCCTGGGCCTCACAGCAGCAACTAACCTCGTCAGAGCTGGACTTTCTTCTTAATATTATCAGTATCCCAGTGACTCCACCAGCATTTGGGCTCCAGGATAATAACTAACTAACACTAAAATAGTATATTTAAGACAGGAAGGGTTATCAAAATTGTTTGGAATGGTTACTACTTGACAAATGGAAAAGGAATATATTCATTTTTTTCATGCAGTAACAAGGTTATGGAACTAAAGATAACTCATACACGCATGGTGACTAACACACATTTAAAGGCTAATCAGATATCTTCTAGTATATCCTTCGTCCATAACGTACATGACTGTTACTTTTAGGTCACACCTCTATCAGAACAGAGAGCAAGATTTTTGGTAGGGAGATAACTGGAGACGAATCACTTTCTTCTGTTAGATGACAAACTCCTATTAACATCAAAAGATCAGGGCTTCCCTGGTGGCGCAGTGCTTGAGAGTCCGCCTGCCGATGCAGGAGACGCGGGTTCGTGCCCCGTTTCGGGAAGATCCCACATGCCGCGGAGCGGCTGGGCCCGTGAGCCATGGCCACTGAGCCTGCGCGTCCGGAGCCTGTGCTCCGCAAATGGGAGAGGCCACAACAGTGAGAGGCCCGCATAACGCAAGGAAAAAAAAAAAAAAAAGATCAAACTACAAACTTTCAACCTTGCCTTGATGTCACATCGTCCCATTTCTCTGCTTCCCTTCACGGCAGAACTCCCTAAAAGAGCAGTCCATGTTATTGCTCTGGACTTCCTCATCTCACGGTCTCTCCATAAAGCACTCCAACTGGCTTAGTCGATCCTCCTTGAAGTATTCTCTTATCAAAGGCGTCAATGACCTCACTTTGCCAAATCCAGTGGTCATTTCTCCTTTCTTATCTTCCTTGACTCCTCGGGAGCATTTCAGAGTCTACTCTGTTCTTTCTGAAACACTTGCTTGCTGTGGCTGTTCCTTCTCCCCTGGTGCCACATGTCTAGAGGCCATGGTGTCCCAGGCCTCACTGCTCTCCTTATTTACATGTTCTCTCTAGTGACTCTCACCCAGTCACATGGTTTTAAGTATCATTTCTCTGCCAGTGACTCCCGAGCCTGTATCTCTGGTCCACATCTCTCCCTAGAAATCCAGACTCAGATACCTAACTGGCTTCTTGACATCCCATATGGCTGAGAGTCCGCTTGAATTTACCACGGCCAAAACTGAACTATTAACTCTATTAATAAAAACTGCCCTGTGGCCAGTCTTTCATACGTCGGTAAGTGGCACCATCATCCATGTAGTTACTGATGCTAAAAACCTAGGATGTAGCCTGATTCTTCTTTTCCCTACGCCCTAGATCCAATCCATCAGCACATCTTGTTACCTCTACCTCTGGAACAAAACACATCAGGCCACTTTGTCTCCATTTCCAGAAACCTCCATCACTGCTTTCCTGCTACAGTCTTTCAATTGGTCTCACTTTTGTTCTTTTGACCCATTTTCATTCACAGGCAGAGTGAGCTTGTTAAAACAGATTAGGTCCCGCTACTACTAACAACCTTCCATTGGCTTCTCCTTGTAGTTCTAACAAAATCAAATCTTATGCAGTCAGACATAACCTGGCCCTATGATGTCTTCGCAAATCTCGCACCATGTTCTCCCTCATCCATCACGCTCCAGCCACTCTGAACTTCCTTCTCCAACCTGTTAAAATCGGCCTGAAATCATTTGCATTATCTGGACCCTCCATCTGAAATGCTCTCCCGCCATTTCATCATTGAGATTTCACTTTAATTACTGCTCCCTCAGGGAGTCCTCCCCGAGTCCAGCCAACGGAAAGTTGCCTTCTCAGGATTCCTTCTACATTACCTCATTTCTCCACAATGCACTTGTCACTATCATACTTTTTAAAAATTGTTTATTTTTGGATCACTGCCACCAGAATATAAGTTTCAAGGAAGCAAAGAAATTGTCTTTATTGTTTGCTGCCCTATTTCAGTGTCCAGAACAGTGCCTGGGTCACAGCAAACCCCGGATAGGTATTTGTTAAATGGCTGTTTGAGGAATAGGACCTATCACTTTGATCATGACAGCAGTCAGAACTGCTGGATTATGCTGGTTTGAGACTGTGCTTTTTGTGTGATATGGAAGAGGCCTGCAGAGTTGTGTAGTTAGAATTGAAGCTGGACATTCTACTGAATGAAAGGAAGCGACTTTTATTTTGAAAGAATAACAGTAGGTCAGAAGGACTTTAATGACCAGAACTGCATCTCTGACTTCTCTGATCTTGGATTAGGGACGCAGAGCAGACACAACAATGTATGCTGACACTGGCCAAGAGCATAGATGAATCCTGCCATTGGTCCTCTGTGCCGGCCACTTAGAAAAGCAAGAAGAGCCCCTCAGGGGTGCGTTTGGGAATCTTCTCTACCACGAGAGGCACCCATATTGTGGTGATAATGCTGTTCATCCAAGAGGTGGAGACGAGAGCTTGTATTCTACCACTCTCTCCTAACAGGCAAGATGGTCCTAAATCCATAAAGACACTGCCTGTTCTCAACTGATTAGGGGAAAAGAGACGAATAAATAAAAAGCAGGCAGATGTGTGTGCATGTCTGTATGTGCGTGCCTGTGTATGTGTATGTGTATGCGTGTGTGTGTGTGTGTGTGTGTGTGTGTGTGTGTGTGTGTGTGAACAGGGGTGGGAGAAATCTATGTCGATAAAGACAGTTTGGGACAGAGCAGTGAATGAATAAAACCTGTAAAACCACAATATTCAGAGAATGGCCTCAGCTGTCAGCAGCTAGTTGATTAATACCCATCAGCCCCAAACAGTAAAAACAGTGACAGCTTTTCACAGAAGACTCATCTTCCATGGAGCATAACGATGTGGTGGCCGGGAGCTGGGGGCGATGGTGGTGTGGATGACAACAGTTTTCTATATTAGAAATTCATTCCATCGCAAGGACTACACCTTAGCAAAGGGAGCCAACTGACCCAGTGGCAGGTACACAAGGTCCTTGCTGCCTTGCTTCAGTGCCTTCTCTGATTGGCCTTCCTCAATTCCATCTTCCAGGTTAATAATAAAAGCTTTCAGTTCTCTAGCAAAAGTTCCAAGGTTAATGCAGGAACTTTTCAGTGAAAAACTTATCACACTACCTGGTTTATTTCTAAGAGTCCAGCATATGGCTTAGGATGTGGCAGGCACATGAGCAGAGCCCACTATTTCAAAGACGCCCCATCCGTTGGGCTCATTAGAACCAGAAGAATGACTTGGAAAATAGAAAGAAGAAGGAAATTTTAATTTTGGTGGTTATGTTGATAACTGCAAAATTGTGTGAATCATTCTTTTTTTTTTTTTTTTTTTTTTTTTTTTTTTTTT